ATCAGGTTGCGAAAACCAATTTTGTGCGCACATAAGAACCACGTTCAGGCACCGCGCCTACAGTGGTCGGAGATCGACTAACGTTACAACTCTCCCGCGCCTTTCCGCTCTCACCCCATCCCTGACACTGACTGCTAGTACCATCCCCCTCCCCCACATTCCCACACTCAGCCTGTGTTTTAAGGCGAACTTTAATCGATTTATCTTATCACTAACGTGTTTGTACCTCTACCCCCTTCCCATATAATTGTACTGGCCCGACGAGAATTTATCGAAAGCTACGTATGCTCGCCACCTCGTCTTCTGAAGACGGATTGGGTTGGTCAACCCCTACTTCTGAGGAAGTGCGTACACAATACTCTGCAAGCAGTCGACGCAAGCAGTCTCTCCAGGCCAGTTGTGTCGAGTGCGCCGTTAAGGTGCCTAGACCTCAGCACGTGTGTGGGCCTTTCGCTGTGTCTCAGTGGCTGCCAGCCAATCAGAGAAGGGGCTGCGTTGATTGTCTTCGAGCACTCGCGCGGCTAGTGACAGGCCTCATGCGGTCCCAGCAGCAAATCGAAAGGCAGCGTAAGGCGGACAAGAGGGCAGATACGGACAAAGAGGCGTAGAACAAGGAGGCGCGGACTGTCACAAGCCCTAATTATCGAGCGGTTCAGTTCAAGTAGTCATGCTAGCCCAGGAACTTCTCTAAACAATTTGTCCCTCCCTAAGACTGTCCCTGAAATAGTGACTTAAAAGGGCAACTTTTGTTATATGCGTCGAGTATTCCTAGATCTGACGAAAGAACTGTAAGATGGAATGCTGTTTGCAGTTTCTTCGTGAAGTATGACCGATTAGAATTCTTTCTGATACTCCAACGTCTACCGTTAGGTTGCAAAACTGTCCGTATCAAAAATTTGTCGAGTTAAACATAAACACACTGAACTCGTGAGAAACTGGAGCGTTCAACGCAACCAACTGTTGATCTAGCAACTTTTCAGAACTATAACAAACCATAGTCCATTGTGGAAACAAATAAAACTTGAACTAAAATTCCGTTTATATCTCTGTTACGGCATGTTTAGACACTTTCTGGACAAGTAGCTGACCATCCTTTCAGGATCCTGTCATTACAATCAGACTTTGTTCCGAATGGTAGTACAGACCTGCTTTTGCCCAATTAACTGTGACAAAGACCTGGAGAATCAGCCGCAGGAAACATTTGTGTCCTCCCTCAAAGAACTCTTTTTCATGCGTTATCTCATGAACTATAAATCGAAATTTTGGTGTGTTTTGAATTCGAGAAATAATTATTTAAGTATGGTCGCAATAATGGCCAGCCTGCAGAATCATCCTAAGATATTTCAGTCATGATAGGATACCAGCTTTTGAGTTAGCATATTTCTGGTCGCTTGCAAGACCCACGCTTACTTAAAATGACGATTCAAGTAGCATTTAATGTATGCGTTGATTTTTGATGCTTTTATAATCTCAGTAATATTTTACAAAAAACTGCAACCTAAATATTCTCCCAGGCGCACTTATGGTGACCAATTTCGACTTTTTAGCATTTATGCTTGAAAAGAGGTTATCTTTGTTGCAAAAAACATAAGAAATTATAAATAAATATACAAATTAATTTGAACTCGAGCTGTCGTCACACTTGCATTCGAAGATCCCAAACTACATACTGAATTACATTTCTCCTAGGGAGAGCCACACGATTCTCCACGTTTTTAGGGAAGAGGTCATCTGGCACTCATTAAATTTTGCAATGCATGTAGACCATGTTGTTTAGTTCATAGGCAACACTCATAAGTGACAAGAAACAGCGCTTTGCGAACAAAAATTTCACGCCGTCAAAAACACATTGTTAGAAACTTCTTTTAAAACCGAAAGATGCCATTTCTATGAGCATAACATTTAGAAGCATTATTTCTTGTCGAGTTATTGTGAGGAAACATACTTTTGGGCATGGCTCCTAGATAATACTTATTTGGATTTACAAGATCATTGAAAAGCAATGAAAAGAACTCATATAAGTTAAGCAGCTAGTTTTTACAATCTGGTTTGCGCTGGCGAACGGAAACAAGACCGATAAAAAGCCGACATCTTGACGTGACCGAAATATCTTGCAGAATAATAAATACTAAATACCTTTCAAATTAATCCTTTTTAATCAAAAATAAAATTCTGAATTTTAGTTAATATGCTATATGATGGCACATCTCTTGCATGAATCGCGGGACTTGCCTGTCCATTGATGTATTCCGAGGAGATTAGGTTAGCCTTTTCCGACTGCCAATCCTCGTCAGTCAGCTATATTCAACACTCCAAAAACCGGCTGCGAAAATGTCGGGCTTGGAGGATAGCCGAGAAAGTCTGACATCATACGATTTCTACTGGAAATGCAATTTAATCGATCAGTGCTTATGCGTCACCAAATAAGTGCTACTACCTATAAAAAGTAGAAACCATTGATTGGGTTGTTAATGCAAATCTTGCTGATTAAGGCTTTTGTGTTAGCTCTCGAACTCTTAACTCTAAGCCGAGAATGCTAAAAAACTGCCGCGCTCAATTAGTCAGCTTTGTTTAACGGTTTGATATTAACGTTCATTTTGACCATTCTCGCCACATCCGCCCAAACAGATGTTTGAGCAGCAAATGCTTTTACTGTTCGGTAAAGTGCAGCGTGAAGCAAAGTAAATGTCAAAGAAATCTTGAGAGTTTATGACATGGCTTGAAAAGACTATATGCGCTGGTTCGGGTAATAAATCTAATGGCTATGCGCATGAACAGCGAGTTTTAAGTGCTGAGCCTTAAGAGTGCAAAACGCAGTCCATTAATTACATTTTTGAATCGCATCGAAAAACAAAATGTCGCATAAATTTGGCGGTACCGCAGACAAGGAAAATCCAGTATGACGAGAAGAGTACACGACGATCAGCGAATGACTGATCTCATCAGATGTTGGACGAATTTCTGAGGTGCGTTTTCAGTCAGGAAGGATTACTTCGGTTTAATTGTAATATTGATTTTCGTGAGGCACAATCCTTTGATTTTTGCGATTCGCCAAAATATTGGCTTTTGAATGTATTACTCAGCGACCTCCTGTAACCAGTGCACTTGGTAAAAATGACTGCCTAAGTAGCATGCGTTTCTGGTATCCATATTCGATAGTTTTTTAAATTCGAATATATATCATAGGAAAAAAGGCCCAGAATGTGATTTTTCTAATCCATTTGGGGGAAATCACATCTCCTCCGCATTTTATGCCCACAGAAAGAGTAATTATTCGATTTCAAAATATTTCTAATTATAAAATTTTTAGACTATGCAATGTCCATTCATTCGGCACCGCACCTGTCCGTTTATTACTGCCCCTCATGACCTACAGAATATAGTCCGAATTCATTGTAAAATTTGATGAAATCTACGTGGTATCTTCTTAAAAGCTTAGGTGAGTATATGATTTTCCAAACGCGGAAAATATACATCTTACACTGTAATCGCTTAACGCTAGTGCGACGGCTAATCTGGCTCAAAACTATTCGGTAGTAAGAAAACTTTTTCAAAACCTACTTATATACTATATACAACATCTTCGACCACAAAATATATAAACGACGTGATTTGCTACAAAATGAATAAACAAAAGCATATTTTATGCATGTTTGCTGCAGAAAGTAATTGAATAAAAATAAATTCAAAGAATAAACGCTACTTCATTGGTCCTTTTTAAGGTGTACTTCTTGCAGCAGGTCGCAATGGTCCTTCCCAGTCGAAAATGCATTTCAGCATGTCGGTTAACATTTCATGAGATCACTCACTAACTGTTTTTAGGCAGATAGCGAAGTATCGATAAAGACAAGTGGCCATTTGTGGTTTAGTGATCATCGTCCAGCAGTCGTATCCACGTGTGGTTTTGCGAACCTGGCGTTCAAACACAGATCATTTGACCAATAAGCTTTTAGAAATCGAGAGGTCCACCTTTGAATCACGAGTCTTTTATCCTGCCGGTTGTGTTTAAATATATTCCAATGTGCACCATGGCCGATCTCACTAAATGCCAACCGAGAATCTGAAATGCGTTTCTGACATAAAAGAATTACTTGAATGTGACTGTAATACCGAATGTCCTGCAGATGAT